CTCCGGAGGGGCAAACAACAGCCCTCAAACCGGGAAGGACTGCACCCAGGCGCGCTCAAACCTGCCCAGGGCCCGAGATCCACCTGGCCTGAGCAGAGAGAGACACCAACCCTTCACCTCGGCAGGAACTGGATCTTTTATTGCTCAGAAACAAGTTCAAAACACGGATCGGGCAAAGCCCAGTTCCTACCCAGCCTCATTTGTCCGAACAAGAGGCTTTTCAGCACGCCCGGCCGCTTTTCTGCGCCAAATCAGGGCAAGAAGCACACGCAGGTACCTGGTTTGAAGCCAGCAACACCAGTACCAATGCAGGAGGTCTCCGGCAAGCGGCATCACCGCTGGATCCAAGGTGGATGCCGCTGCAGAGTAGCCGGACCCACGTCTGCCACGTGCCGGAGATGTGGAGATAAGACAGTCCTGCCTCGTTAGTTGGTAGTGACGTCCAGCTCCAGCTTTTTCAGAGTCTTTTGGAAGAAGAGGGGCGGCTTGCAGACGAGGTCTATCCGCTCGCCCAGGGGCAGGGAGAGCCGGTAGGCGTGAAGGTGGAGGGGGAGGTGGCGAGCCTTGCTCTGCTCCAGCTTCAGCCTCTTCAAGGTGATTTCAGGAAGCTTCTGCAGCGAGGACAGAAAAAGTCCCTTCCACAACCCCATCTCTTCAGACGGACCTTGAAAACCCCGGCCCAGGGGCAGCTGGGGGACACAAAGGGGCCGCCCAGCCCTGGAACTCCCCTCCTCGATGCAGGACCTGCCTTACCTGGGGTGCCAGCTTGCTCCAGTGGGAATATTTGTGATCCCCCAGGATGGGACACCCCAACCCGTAGGCCAGGTGAACCCGGATCTGGTGCTTCACCCCTGAGGAGGGGAAGAGAAAGAGGAGAAATGTGACAACAAGCCATGCCAGGCCTCGGCTCCCACCCGCCACCCTCGGCACTAGATAACCCCGTGCCAAAAATCACCGGGAGCCAGAGGACGGCCTGGCAGCAAACCATCACCCCGGGGTGGCTTATTCCCACAGCCCTGGCCCAAAAAAAAATACGTATTTCACTCGTGGCTAACGATGTGTTCCCACTTCGAGCGCTGCTCCTGGCTGCCGAGCCGCACAGAAAGGGGATCCAGCAGTTGACCAAACCCCGGGGACACCCGTCCAGGCCTCACCTGTGATGGGCTGGAGCTCCAGCAGAGAGCAAGCAGAGGAGCTAGCCAGAAGGCGGTACCGCGTCACGGCGCTTTCGGCGTTGCGGTTCTTGCGGATTTTCACCACCTTCCCGTCCTCTGGAGACAGACGATAGTTGGGGGCCAGCGTCATCTGAAGAGAGGTGTGAGGGTGAGCCCGCGGGAAGGCAGGAAGCGGGGTGCCAGGGAGCGGCAGGCCAGAACGGTGGCCCAGAGGACATCACGCTCACCTTGTAGTGCGACTGGTGGCTCTTCACCTCCTTCTCCACGATGGGGATCTCCACGATGCCCTCAGTGGGGTCTGGGTCCCCCAGGCTAATTGCCCTGGGGAGGGAAACCAGGGGTCTGCCGGGCATCGCTCCAGCAGGAAAGGAACCCTCCCCTCATCCTCTCTCCCCATGACCCAGCTTCTCCCCCAAAACAAACCTTGAGGGAAGATAAGCAAACACCCACCACTTCCACAAAGCCCCACACTCCAGTGACTGTCCCTTCACCCCTTCTTCAAACCCTATGGGCCCTTCAAAGCTGCTTCTCCACCCAAACCTTTCCTACCAGTAGATCTTCTCCACCTGGCGAGTTTTGAAGAGAAGCCGGATCCTCTCTGCCACCTCCTTGTTCCGCGCCAGCACCATCACACCGGTGGTCTCTTTGTCCAGCCGGTGGCAGAGGTGGAGGGGTTCAGCTTTCATGTTCTCCAACATCTTGGCCAAAATCGGCAACACATCAGTGATACAATTCTTGATCCCAGGGCCGCCTGCATAACGCAAATCAGAAGGCAATCGGAAGGGATGATCATCTCCCCCAAATTACCCCCAAAATGTGAGATGAAGGCTGTGATCTAAAGGCGACAAACTCCCTGAATGCCTCTCTGGGAAGGAAAACCTCAGCACAGGGAGGACAGACATATCTACATGGACTTGGGCAAAACACACGACACTGTCCCACACAACATCCTGGTCTCTAAATTGGAGAGACGTGGATTTGACCACTGGACCACTCAGTGGATGGGGAACTGGCTGGCTGGCTGCACTCAAAGAGTTGTGGTCCACGGCTCAATGTCCAAGTGGTAACCAGTGAGGAGTGGTGTTCCTCAGGGATCGGTACTGGGACCAGGGCTGTTTAACATCTTTGTTGGCAACACGGATAGTGGGATGGAGTGCACCCTCAGTAAGTTTGCCGATGACACCAAGCTGTGTCATCGACACGCTGGAGGGGAGGGATGCCATCCCAGAGGGACCTGGACAGGCTGGAGAAATGGGCTCGTGTGAAGCTCATGAAGTTCAACCAGGCCAAGTGCAGGTCCTGCATGTGGGTGAGGGCAATCCCAAGCACAAATCCAGGCTGGGCGGGGAATGGCTGGAGAGCAGCGCTGAGGAGAAGGACCTGGGGGTGTTCATGGGTGAGAAGCTCAACATGAGCCGGTGATGTACGATCGCAGCCCAGAAAGCCCCCCGCATCAAGGGCTGCATCCCCAGCAGTGTGGCCAGCAGGGTGAGGGGGGATTGTGCCCCTCTGCTCTGGGGAGACCCCCCTGCAGTGCTGCCTCCAGCTCGGGGGGTCCCACCAGCAGAAGGACA